ATATGTAGGGATTTAATTTGATAGCATAAACGTTACTCAAAATCGTAGTGTCCTTTTTTCTTATTTATTTACAAGTATATACAGAGCTGATATTTACAAGAAAACATACGCGATCCTCGAACAACCTTCTTCTTTTCAATCTGAACAACGACTCCCTTAACATCAATCACCAACTTCCAAACGCGCTACCTGCTACCCCCATGGGTAGAGTACCATAAAACTATAAATCGTTGTTCGAGCATTCGCTGTCTTTATTCATAACATTTTAAGTAATATCTTATTTTCTATTAATACCTAACTTGACTTTATTAATTAATCCTACACGCTTCCGATACCACATTCGGCCATCCTGTGAGACATCTGCCCTCAGATGTCCTCGTTGACGTCGGAATCGTCGCTGTCATACAATTCACGACCCACTGCTTTATCTTGTACATCATCTTCATTATCTTGGGACCAGGGTTTTATATGATCAGCTGATGCTGACGTTTGCCTTGGGCCTTCGTGGTAACCAATCTTTTCAACAATGTAACGGTCATTACGCAATACCCTTATAATCTGGTATGGTCCGAAATATTTTGGCTGTACTTTCAGACCAGGGCCAAACTGAGTCCTTTTTATTGCCACTAAATCACCTTCTTTATACGTGATGGCCTTCTTGCGTTTTTTATTGAAACTTCGCCGATTTTCCTCCTGGACTTGTGCAATTTTAGTCTTCGCTTCAACCCTTAATTGATCTCGTTGCTCTTCAAACATCTTGATCCATTCATCCTCGATTATCTTTCGAACTTCTGGGTCGTCTTTTAATCGCATGTGTGTACCAAACAGTAAATTAAATGGTGTCTTACCAGTGCTACGACTGGGAGTTGCATTCAGGTATTGCTGGACAATGGTGAGGTACTTATACCACTCGTCGGCCCTTGGTGCTGCTAATTTCGTTAATAATGGTATAATCGTCCTGTTAACCCGTTCGACTTGACCATTACTTCTTGGAACGCCTGTTGTGATTTGTACATTTTCAATATTTTCTTCTTTGCAATACTCCAGAAATGCAGTTGAAGTAAATGCCGTGCCTCGATCGGTAATAATTCTGCGTGGATTTCCAAAGATTACTGCCTGCTTTCTTAATTTGTCTAGTACTTCGGCCGTATCGGTAGAGCGTGTCGTATATAACCATACAAACTTTGAAAAAGCATCTACGACTACAAAGATGTACTTGTACGATTTTTTTGTGGATGGTATTGGGCCTAAATGGTCTACATGAAAAGTATCTAACGGAACACTACCTTTATTGATCGGATTGAGAAATCCCTCTTGCTTACCACCCTTTCTTTCACTTAGTATACAGTTTATACAATTACTTACTACTTGTTCCACTATCTTACGAATATTCTTAAACCAAAATTCTCTTAAGACTAACGCTTCGGTTTTATTAATACCAAAATGTCCACGTTCGTGGGCGCGTCTTACAATCTGATATTGCATACAACTAGGAATAACAATCAAAGGTTCGTCATTTACAATCTTATACAATAAGTCATTTCTAAATTCATAATCATTACATTTACTATTTTGTACAGAATTTACAATCTTTTGTATTTGTTCGTCACTACTTTGTGCCTTTTTGAGCTTTACAATTATACCTTCGTCACACTCGTTTAACAATAGGGCACAAGGCAAGGGATGTCTGCTTAACGCATCAACATGAGACATTTGTTTACCTAATCTGTGTACAATGGTATATTGAAACTCTTCTAGTAATAATGCCCATCTAGCTACTCGTACACATAGATCTTTTTTATTCATTGTCATCGTAAAAGCTTGGCAATCTGTGACAATAGTGAAGGAAATGCCAAGTAAATAGACCCTAAATTTCTTTAACGCTTTTATTACAGCTAAAACTTCTAACTCATAGCTGGTATAATTTTCTTCCGCCGCCGTCGTTTTACCACTAGCGAAATAGACGGGATGAAATTTATTGTCTCCTAAATCTTTTTGTAGCAGAATTGCTCCAAACCCAAAACGGGATGCGTCAGTGTGCAATTCCGTTTCTCTACCTAAATGGTACAATTTCAAAATAGGACCCCTACAGAGTACCGATTTTAATGTGTTAAATGCTTCGGCCTCCGCTGGACCGAAATGAAACTTTACGTTCGCCCTCAATAAATTGGACAATGGGCGTGCTATCAACGAGTACCTAGGAACAAACTTTCTAAAATATCCGGTCAGACCTAAAAAGCTTTGAACATCTTTAACATTGTTAGGTACCGGGAATTTCAAAACAGCGGCAGTCTTATGCGCGGATGGCTTTACTGTCCCCTTTTCAACTACATGTCCTAAATATTCTATCCTTTCTTGTAAAAACTGGCACTTCTTCCAGTTTATTACCAAACCGAATTGACCTGCAACATCTAGCACTAACTTCAACCTTGACAACGCTTCATCGTGATTTACAGCCAATACAATTAAATCGTCCATATAAGTTAAAATTATTCTCTTAGCTATTAAATCTTTGAAAACTGCATTAATAAATTTCTGAAAAATTGACGGAGAATTACATAGGCCGAAAGGGACTTTTAAAAATTCAAATTGACCATTTGGTGTGACAAAAGATGTAAACTTTATGCTTTCCTCGTCAACAGGTACATGAAAAAAACCGTTTTTGAGATCTACCGTGCTAAAAATCGTTGCATCATTAAGTAGGTCCAATTGATCCTCGATCAGTGGCAAAGGATATCTATCTTTAATAATTTTTTTATTTAGAGCTCTATGGTCAATGCAAATGCGTGTTGAACCATCTTTCTTTTTTTACTAAAACTATTGGACTCGCATACTCCGAGTCCGATGGACGAATGATCCCTTCTTCAACCCATAAATTAATAATTTGATCTACTTCTTTGCGTTCAGGCGGAGATAAACGTCGTGGGCGCGAATAAACTGGTATGTCATCTTTTAGAATTATTTTCATTTTTACATTAACTTCACGGGATTTTTCTGGCTTGTAATTATGGACTAACTCTTCTATCTGCATACGGTAATGACTGTTTGTTACGTTGGATAAATCTAATTCGTTCGAGTCCTCCACGGCGTTAATATGAAAAATTTCAGGAGTACTGAAATCGGTTGAGGACTGGCTTTCAATTTTGGATATGGTTATTTTCCCCTCTCTAATATTTAGATCAACTTGATTAAGAAAATCCGTACCTATCAGAACTCCTAACTTTAGAATCGTACTTGGAACTACGTGAAATCTTACATTATTAAATCTTGCATTATCAATTACTATGTCAGCATTGAACTCTCCTAACGTTTCGTTACCGCTTGACCCAATACCATCAAACTTAACACTAGACTTAATTAAACGAGGTGAACCTATTCTAACATATTCGTCTGTCCTAATTAATGTAATATCGCTACCTGTGTCGATGAGCGCAGTGAGTTTGACGTCCGTTATGGTGATTTCCTTTGTATGCTTCGTGGTGTGATTCCTTGAAATGCTGTTGGTCTTCTGGGTGTTTGTGGGTTTTGGTACCGAACTACCGCACTTAATCGCAATGTGCCCGTACTCATTACACTTAAAGCACTTTAATCCTTTTTGTTTATTCGGGCACTCCGATTTAAAATGACCTTTGTCACCACACATATGACACCGTTTCACATTCGATACGCTTTGAAGTCCTAGCCTGCTTTTCTCCCCTGTGGAAACGCGTTTTATGGTGTCTTCTTTCTTGTCCTGGATCTTCCTGTGGGACTTCATCTCGCTCTTCATATCTTCAAATTGAGAAAACCTTTCCTTCAGTTGTCGGATAGTTTTCGCTCCATATAAAATAGATTTCTCAACTGGGTCTTCTGGTATTCCCTCTATTATGTACTTTATTACGGTTCGAGGTTCCAGATCCGCTTGGCTGGCTATCTCGAGCATCTTATACGTATACTCTTGATACGTTTCGTCGTTCCTTTTATTTCGCCTGGATAACTCGCGGTGAACCTTGTAGCTATCCACCACTTCCTCAAACTCGCTTTTTAGCGCGGATTTTAGACTTTTCCAAGTCTTACCGCATTTTTCGTATCGGACGAAGAGCTTGGCTGAACCAGTGAGAAGACGTTTTGCATAAGCCACCTTCTGAACATCAACCCACTGACACAATTCTGCCATCTCCTCGAAATCATCCAACCACCGAGTGACGCTTAGTTTTTCATCACCACTGAACTTTTCTAATGATTCTTCCACATCTCGAAAAGTCAGGGATACTTGTTCACGTGTTTGCTTCCGTCGGCAACCCGTCTTAGTCGCTTTGGGAACGTCTTCGTCATCTTCTTCGTATTCACTTTCGTTATCTTCTTCGTCTTCACCTGGTTCGACATAATCATTCGTAATAGCCTCATTGTTCATCATCAGTGCAGTTCGGAGTCGCTCCTGTAATTCCTTTTTGCTTCCTTGCGTAGACAGCTCCAATTCTTCCAACTTTTTCCGTAAATCTGCCATCTTCATCTTCACGATATCGCCCTGGTTATCACTCATGATTCCAAACTTCTTAAATAGTTTGCAACAATTTCTAATTGTTCAAACTCTGATGAACCACTCGCGATATACAACTAATATGCCTTTCTTCTTTTAAACACTACCGATTAGCAATCTTTTCAATCTGAACAACGACTTCCTTTAACATCAATCACCAACTTCCAAACGCGCTACCTGCTACCCCCATGGGTAGAGTACCATAAAACTATAAATCGTTGTTCGAGCATTCGCTGTCTTTATTCATAACATTTTAAGTAATATCTTATTTTCTATTAGTACCTAACTTGACTTTATTAATTAATTCTACACGCTCCCGATACCACATATGGCCATCCTGTGAGACATCTGCCCTCAGATGTCCTCGTTGACGTCGGAATCGTCGCTGTCATACAATTCACGACCCACTGCTTTATCTTGTACATCATCTTCATTATCTTGGGACCAGGGTTTTATATGATCAGCTGATGCTGACGTTTGCCTTGGGCCTTCGTGGTAACCAATCTTTTCAACAATGTAACGGTCATTACGCAATACCCTTATAATCTGGTATGGTCCGAAATATTTTGGCTGTACTTTCAGACCAGGGCCAAACTGAGTCCTTTTTATTGCCACTAAATCACCTTCTTTATACGTGATGGCCTTCTTGCGTTTTTTATTGAAACTTCGCCGATTTTCCTCCTGGACTTGTGCAATTTTAGTCTTCGCTTCAACCCTTAATTGATCTCGTTGCTCTTCAAACATCTTGATCCATTCATCCTCGATTATCTTTCGAACTTCTGGGTCGTCTTTTAATCGCATGTGTGTACCAAACAGTAAATTAAATGGTGTCTTACCAGTGCTACGACTGGGAGTTGCATTCAGGTATTGCTGGACAATGGTGAGGTACTTATACCACTCGTCGGCCCTTGGTGCTGCTAATTTCGTTAATAATGGTATAATCGTCCTGTTAACCCGTTCGACTTGACCATTACTTCTTGGAACGCCTGTTGTGATTTGTACATTTTCAATATTTTCTTCTTTGCAATACTCCAGAAATGCAGTTGAAGTAAATGCCGTGCCTCGATCGGTAATAATTCTGCGTGGATTTCCAAAGATTACTGCCTGCTTTCTTAATTTGTCTAGTACTTCGGCCGTATCGGTAGAGCGTGTCGTATATAACCATACAAACTTTGAAAAAGCATCTACGACTACAAAGATGTACTTGTACGATTTTTTTGTGGATGGTATTGGGCCTAAATGGTCTACATGAAAAGTATCTAACGGAACACTACCTTTATTGATCGGATTGAGAAATCCCTCTTGCTTACCACCCTTTCTTTCACTTAGTATACAGTTTATACAATTACTTACTACTTGTTCCACTATCTTACGAATATTCTTAAACCAAAATTCTCTTAAGACTAACGCTTCGGTTTTATTAATACCAAAATGTCCACGTTCGTGGGCGCGTCTTACAATCTGATATTGCATACAACTAGGAATAACAATCAAAGGTTCGTCATTTACAATCTTATACAATAAGTCATTTCTAAATTCATAATCATTACATTTACTATTTTGTACAGAATTTACAATCTTTTGTATTTGTTCGTCACTACTTTGTGCCTTTTTGAGCTTTACAATTATACCTTCGTCACACTCGTTTAACAATAGGGCACAAGGCAAGGGATGTCTGCTTAACGCATCAACATGAGACATTTGTTTACCTAATCTGTGTACAATGGTATATTGAAACTCTTCTAGTAATAATGCCCATCTAGCTACTCGTACACATAGATCTTTTTTATTCATTGTCATCGTAAAAGCTTGGCAATCTGTGACAATAGTGAAGGAAATGCCAAGTAAATAGACCCTAAATTTCTTTAACGCTTTTATTACAGCTAAAACTTCTAACTCATAGCTAGTATAATTTTCTTCCGCCGCCGTCGTTTTACCACTAGCGAAATAGACGGGATGAAATTTATTGTCTCCTAAATCTTTTTGTAGCAGAATTGCTCCAAACCCAAAACGGGATGCGTCAGTGTGCAATTCCGTTTCTCTACCTAAATGGTACAATTTCAAAATAGGACCCCTACAGAGTACCGATTTTAATGTGTTAAATGCTTCGGCCTCCGCTGGACCGAAATGAAACTTTACGTTCGCCCTCAATAAATTGGACAATGGGCGTGCTATCAACGAGTACCTAGGAACAAACTTTCTAAAATATCCGGTCAGACCTAAAAAGCTTTGAACATCTTTAACATTGTTAGGTACCGGGAATTTCAAAACAGCGGCAGTCTTATGCGCGGATGGCTTTACTGTCCCCTTTTCAACTACATGTCCTAAATATTCTATCCTTTCTTGTAAAAACTGGCACTTCTTCCAGTTTATTACCAAACCGAATTGACCTGCAACATCTAGCACTAACTTCAACCTTGACAACGCTTCATCGTGATTTACAGCCAATACAATTAAATCGTCCATATAAGTTAAAATTATTCTCTTAGCTATTAAATCTTTGAAAACTGCATTAATAAATTTCTGAAAAATTGACGGAGAATTACATAGGCCGAAAGGGACTTTTAAAAATTCAAATTGACCATTTGGTGTGACAAAAGATGTAAACTTTATGCTTTCCTCGTCAACAGGTACATGAAAAAAACCGTTTTTGAGATCTACCGTGCTAAAAATCGTTGCATCATTAAGTAGGTCCAATTGATCCTCGATCAGTGGCAAAGGATATCTATCTTTAATAATTTTTTTATTTAGAGCCCTATAGTCAATGCAAACGCGTGTTGAACCATCTTTCTTTTTTACTAAAACTATTGGACTCGCATACTCCGAGTCCGATGGACGAATGATCCCTTCTTCAACCCATAAATTAATAATTTGATCTACTTCTTTGCGTTCAGGCGGAGATAAACGTCGTGGGCGCGAATAAACTGGTATGTCATCTTTTAGAATTATTTTCATTTTTACATTAACTTCACGGGATTTTTCTGGCTTGTAATTATGGACTAACTCTTCTATCTGCATACGGTAATGACTGTTTGTTACGTTGGATAAATCTAATTCGTTCGAGTCCTCCACGGCGTTAATATGAAAAATTTCAGGAGTACTGAAATCGGTTGAGGACTGGCTTTCAATTTTGGATATGGTTATTTTCCCCTCTCTAATATTTAGATCAACTTGATTAAGAAAATCCGTACCTATCAGAACTCCTAACTTTAGAATCGTACTTGGAACTACGTGAAATCTTACATTATTAAATCTTGCATTATCAATTACTATGTCAGCATTGAACTCTCCTAACGTTTCGTTACCGCTTGACCCAATACCATCAAACTTAACACTAGACTTAATTAAACGAGGTGAACCTATTCTAACATATTCGTCTGTCCTAATTAATGTAATATCGCTACCTGTGTCGATGAGCGCAGTGAGTTTGACGTCCGTTATGGTGATTTCCTTTGTATGCTTCGTGGTGTGATTCCTTGAAATGCTGTTGGTCTTCTGGGTGTTTGTGGGTTTTGGTACCGAACTACCGCACTTAATCGCAATGTGCCCGTACTCATTACACTTAAAGCACTTTAATCCTTTTTGTTTATTCGGGCACTCCGATTTAAAATGACCTTTGTCACCACACATATGACACCGTTTCACATTCGATACGCTTTGAAGTCCTAGCCCGCTTTTCTCCCCTGTGGAAACGCGTTTTATGGTGTCTTCTTTCTTGTCCTGGATCTTCCTGTGGGACTTCATCTCGCTCTTCATATCTTCAAATTGAGAAAACCTTTCCTTCAGTTGTCGGATAGTTTTCGCTCCATATAAAATAGATTTCTCAACTGGGTCTTCTGGTATTCCCTCTATTATGTACTTTATTACGGTTCGAGGTTCCAGATCCGCTTGGCTGGCTATCTCGAGCATCTTATACGTATACTCTTGATACGTTTCGTCGTCCCTTTTATTTCGCCTGGACAACTCGCGGTGAACCTTGTAGCTATCCACCACTTCCTCAAACTCGCTTTTTAGCGCGGATTTTAAACTTTTCCAAGTCTTACCGCATTTTTCGTATCGGACGAAGAGCTTGGCTGAACCAGTGAGAAGACGTTTTGCATAAGCCACCTTCTGAACATCAACCCACTGACACAATTCTGCCATCTCCTCGAAATCATCCAACCACCGAGTGACGCTTAGTTTTTCATCACCACTGAACTTTTCTAATGATTCTTCCACATCTCGAAAAGTCAGGGATACTTGTTCACGTGTTTGCTTCCGTCGGCAATCCGTCTTGGTCGCTTTGGGAACGTCTTCGTCATCTTCTTCGTATTCACTTTCGTTATCTTCTTCGTCTTCATCTGGTTCGACATAATCATTCGTAATAGCCTCATTGTTCATCATCAGTGCAGTTCGGAGTCGCTCCTGTAATTCTTTTTTGCTTCCTTGCGTAGACAGCTCCAATTCTTCCAACTTTTTCCGTAAATCTGCCGTCTTCATCTTCACGATATCGCCCTGGTTATCACTCATGATTCCAAACTTCTTAAATAGTTTGCAACAATTTCTAATTGTTCAAACTCTGATGAACCACTCGCGATATACAACTAATATGCCTTTCTTCTTTTAAACACTACCGATTAGCGGCTTCACGTTACACTATCGATATCCCGGACGAGCCCCCAAAATATGTAGGGATTTAATTTGATAGCATAAACGTTACTCAAAATCGTAGTGTCCTTTTTTCTTATTTATTTACAAGTATATACAGA